AAAAAAAAAAATTTGACCTCTGGACTTGTCTTCACGGCGAAAATGGCTACCAAATGCTATTTTCGTGTGAAAATTCTCGATTTTATTATTTATATAATATTTAACTTTATAATGCTATAACTTATTGAAAAGTTTATGGATCCACACAATTTTTTTATGAGAAATAATATTTTTTAATAAATCCTTTTTCATTTGACATACTTTATCTTAATCGAGATATTAATAAGGAACCAGTAGATCAAGTAGCTTTTGAAATAAAACACAAATTTTTTTAAAATTAAACACTATCTAAAGATTTGCATCGAAGCGTTTATTTTAGATAGTGATTTTAATCACTGTCAGATATCATTATCTTGATCCAACTATGCCACGTCACCACTGTGCCGCGACCCCCCTGTGCTGGGTTTTTTTTTATATAAGAATTTTATAAGAAGAGAATTAAAAAATGACTATTTTAAAATTTTGAAGAAAAAAAAATTTTATTTTGTACTTTTTTTTTTTAGTAATAAAATATGCTTTGAACATAGTTCAAAAAGCGATAAATATAAAAAAAAAAGTTCAACAAAATGATTAAAAGTTAGAAGAGTTGTCAGATAAATCTAGTTTACTCTGTGTTATTTATACTCTCGATTGAATCAGTTACAATTAAATTTTAATTAAGATTATTAGACAAAAAGTGTCATTTATAAATAATAAAAAATAAACACAGGGGGTCGCGGCACAGTGTTGACGTGGCATAGTTCGATCAAGTATAATGATATCTGACAGTGATTAAAATCACTATAAAAAAAAAAAGCTTCGATGCAAATCTTTAGATAGTATTTAATTTTAAAAAATTGGTGTATTATTCCAAAAGTTACATGATCTGCTAGTTCCTTATTAATATCCTGATTAAGATAAAGTATGAAGAATGAAAAAGAGATTATTAAAAAATATTATTTCTCATAAAAAAATTGTATTGATCCACATATTTTTCAAAAAGTTATAGCATAATAAAGTTAAAAATGTAAAAAATAATATCGAGAATTTTCACACAAAAATAGCATTTGGTAGCCATTTTCACCATGAAGACAAGTCTAGAGGTCAAATTAATTTTTTTCAAATTAAAGTATATTACATTAGCTTTAATTTAAGATATATATAAAAGTGACAGACCTTCCGGAACATTTTCAAAAGTTATGTTGAAAAAGTTAATTTTTTGTGAAAAAGTTGTCATTTTAAATCCCCCCCTGTGAGCAGATAAAGGGTCAAATTTACAAAAAAAATATACCAAATGATAGATAAAGACATCAAGCATCTATATAAAAAAAAATTATATTGATATGATTATTTTTAAAAAAGTTATGGCAGTTTTTAATAAAAAAAATTGAAAAAATTTCGAAAATTAGCGATTTTTAAATTTGTAATTTTTTTTTTTTTTTGAGGTTTCCCCCATTTACGGGGAACGAGGGAAATTTTTTCAATTTTTAAGGTTAATGTCTTCGACTAGATACGATTTGTGATCTTTGACGTATCGTTAAAAGAAATAGGTTCTGTAAGAGCTGAAAAAAAAGTGGTAACAGACACAAAAAAAAAACACACCATATTAAAACTAATACCTTCTCAGCTTTGCATCGAAGCTAAAAACCAAAAAGGAAAACGATAGCTCACTTTTTTCTCTCGTCAAAAAAACGCAGTTTATATTTATATCTATATATGTCTGAAACGTCTTTTTAATGTCTGAACTATTTTACGCATCATCCTAACTTAAGAGTAACTTAGAAAATGGCTTTGAAGCATTATTAATTTTTCTGAGCGTATGAAAATACAATTAATTTTTATTAACATCTACGTTAAATTACAGGTATAGAAAATACAACTTATTTAGAGAATTCGGATTCAATTCTACTCGTTCAGCAGAATTGTGCACGTTTGACACTGATTTTGGAGTACGTTTTGGTATGTTTATATGTTTCGATATAATGTTTGAAAATCCATCAAAGCGCCTTATCCAAGAAACTGGTGTAAGAGACGTTATATTTTCAACAGCTTGGTTTTCAGAATTACCGTTACTTACAGGTACTTACCCAACCCAGCCAAAACCTATTCAACTATTATCATCTTAATACTTTTTTTTAACTCATTTTTTAACTACCAAATATGGCTTTAATTTAGTATAATTTAATTAAAACACAATAAATACTATATATTAATCTTCAAAATAGCTACAACTATAATATTAGTGATGGTACAAACCTTGATTTTTGAGATTGAACCGAATTTTCAATTTTTCAGTCGAACCCGAATTTTAATTTTAATCGTTTTCAAACAAAACATTTTTTATATTATTCAACATATTTAGCATGATATTTGTTTATAGTAGTTCGTTTTTTAAACCGATTTATAAACAAAAAGTTCAGTTCGATTTTGGAACTTAATCGAACACCCCAAGTTTGGTTTGGTTCGCTTTGAAAATCGAACGGTTCGAACATCGCTACTATTTCTTCTCAGCTTAAGTAATTTTCAATAGAATTCTACAAATGTTGTTATGTGTTTTACTTTTAGAGAAGTGAAATTTTTTCTTATATTATATCATCGATGATGTAAACGATTGTTTTTATACTTGGTTTATTTTTCTAATTTCAATTCATAAATAGTAAAACTTCAATTTTGTTTATGGAATTAACCTAAACAACATATCTTAATAACAAGTACTAATTGTTAGAAATGACATTTATGAAACACATTCGTTCTATTTAAAAAAAATTATCATACAAAATTGTATGTTTGTGATTAAGTAAATATACCATTGTTTTTGTTATAGCCGATTCGGTGCAATCAGGTTGGGCATATTCTAATGACGTTAACTTAATAGCAGCCGGATACAATACACCATCCATGAGCGTAGGTGGCAGCGGAATATATTCCGGACGAGATGGCCCTTTGGTTATGGTCATGCCAGATAGACAGGGAACTCAAATACTACTTTCCAAAGTTCTTAAACGAAGGTTGCCTGACTCAAATTTGAAATCCAGTAGCGAATGTAAAATTGACAAAACGTTTATGACATTTTTGGCTGATTATCTTGTTATACCTTATGGCAGTGAAAAGTTTCCAACGAATAAAAACCGTCCTAGTGATCTTAGGTCTGTAAAACTTAATATACATTTTTAATTTTTGACATTAAAAAAAATACTAAGAACAATGACTGTAAAAACATCTAAAAAATCATAATAATGTAAATATTTAATTTTTTTCAAAATATTTAAAACATTTTTATCTCAAAATTTAATAATTTAGGGGTAACATTTATATGTAATTCCTAGGCACATAGTCTTTTTACATTTCAACAACCGAATATCAGGAAAAAATCTTCAATCTTCTATTTTGGAAAAATGTTATGTTTCTTAAAAATCATTCCCCGATACAAAAAAAAATTACTGTTCTTGGTTTTGAATGGACTGTATAATATACGTTTTTTTTTTATTAATAATAGTATTTGTTTATTAATTATAATTATATTTTAAGATAACAACGCTATACTATAAAACATAAAACACTACGTATCGCACTGACCATAACGACGGATCGCAGTGAACTAACTACTGCTAACGGCGATAGGGCCAAGCAGCGCAATCACAAAGATAACAAACAACAAAAAAAAAAAAATACATTAATATCGGCCAGAACAATTACCTTGTGCATACTTAGTTGTGTTTTACTTGTGATCATACATAAAACAACTATATAAACGCGTAAAATAACTATTTTTTTTTTTTAGATTCTTTTTAGATGGAAGCTTCAAGTATTTCCAGGTAGAGACTATGGAGTCGGAATATGATCAGGATGAGATTTTGACAGCATCGTTCTCTTATGAGCAAGACGGTTTCGCATGTGCTATGACAATTAGTTGGCGAAATGAAAACAACAACGTATCGACTGATTATAATATGTTTGCGTATTCCGGTGATAGGACTTTCGGTGGGTTTCTCAACGCTCATATCGAAACATGTGGTCTAACTTTATACAAGTACAAAGAACATTTCTCGGGGGGTGTCACCTATTACAACCCTGCTAAAAATCTCGTTACCATCACAGCCATTGACATCGTAGCAAGGTCCTCAGATTTGACCACCGTACCTATACCGACTACGCTGAATATGTCCAGTTATCCACTAACTAGTGACTTTTTTACTTTCGCTAAGCATACTGTATCGACTGATGACGGACAGAAAATGCAAGAGATTCATATGCAGCTATCTAAACCGGTGGCTGACTTAGTTTCATTCGGTATCTACAAACTTCCTCGAGACATGTCATTAATAGATAGTTGATGAATTTCTCATTCCTGTGTCTAATTTAATTGTAAATTATGTATTATAAGATATTTACTTAGTTAAATGTAAAAATGTGTAATTTGTTGAAAACTTCATTACATATAACTGTTAATTATTGTTTAATGTAGTAATATACTAGTAAAAATACATCAGTTGTATCCGTGAAATTTGTTAGATAATGATACTTAGATTAAATTACTCTATAAAATAAGTATTTCATTTATTCAAAAATCTGTTATTAAACATTTCGATATAGTTTATCTTTGTTATTATCATGAATTTGACATATTCAACAATGACTGATGTTAAGTAATAAGTTATTTAAATTATGTAAGCTAATGTACCAATTTTAAAATAGTAGAAGGTAATTTTACAGTGACGTAACAAAGGTATATAAAGATGATCTAATGAAAAATAGTAAAATCTCAATACCTATAATTATAAATTTTACAACTAGTACAAAAATATTTTGTAAATCGTTGTAGTTACCATGTAAAATTGTACCTGATAAATATTAATATTTATAATATAACACAATAACATTATGTTATTATTATTGATCTCTGTGCATTATAGTAATGTTTAGTTATGTATAATAAACATATTAGTATCATTATTTTAATTAAAGTTTTTATTATATAAATATACAACAAGTTTATTACATAAATAGTTTTAGCAATTTAAATGCTACATCAAATTTTTTGTTCTGAATGTTGTTAATTTTTTTTAAACCCAAAATAATTTCAATGTGAACACAATAAATTTGACATTATTGTTTATTTTTTTTACAAAGATTTGATTATTTTACTAGTATAAAAATTTATACTTGAATATTTATGTTTAACGTATATTAATAAATATGTTGATGCCCATTGTGCAAATCATGTTTTCCGTGTTCTAGGGACGTATTTGTAGTATTTCATATTAAATATCACTTTTTATCGTTTTTACCATTTTTGATTATTTTGTTAAAATATTATAATTATGTCTTTATTATTATATAACGAGGACATTACATATTGTCTGTACCTATAACATCAGGAACTGATGTTCTATGAATGTCATTGGTGTACCGACATAAGGTTTATCGTCAACTTAACAAGTAATCTTATGTCTGTTGACAATATTAATATTTAGATTACTCGTTTATAAACCTTTCTTTATAATTTTATAAATAATTAATTATACAATTGTCGACATACATGGTGCATGTTGTTTGCATTCTCGAGAATTCTTCTTGTATCTGGTGAACATAGAACCAATACAGAATATGTATCAGAAATGCGAAAAATAGACTCGTTTCCTCTCATTTGATTTACTATGTCTCAAGATTAAATCAAAATGTTGCTGAAGTTTACTCCTTTTAATAATGTAAACACGTGTAATATAAGTATTATAACGGATAAAGCTGCACCGATTCGTGATATTTGGACAATGCTTAATCAAAGCTTACATAAAAATTATAAACCTACAGAAAATATAACAGTAGACGAACAACTATTTCCTTATAGAGGACACACAATACATTTCCTTGAAACCTGCAAAATATCGATTTAAGGTATTTGGGCTTGGATGCAGCAAATTCTTACCTTTTGCGCGGTAAAATTTACACGTGTAAGCCACAAAATGGCGAACGTCAAGTAAATATTGGTGAACACACAGTTCTAGACTTACTTATTAGTTGCAACATATGGAGGAACCGGACGAAATGTGACCAACAGACAGTGTAAAATAAATGGTTTTCTTTTTTAAGAAATGTACAAATACAATAAAAAATTTTATTTCCACGATGTATTGATGTATAATTGTATTGTAATACAACATCAATGAAACATTTCATAAATCACATCAACAGTGTGACTTTTTGGGGTACACGTGTCAATACGTTCGATCAGAAAAACCTGATGTACAATAATGTTTAAAAACAGAATTAAATTAACTGTTAAGTATTTTCAACAAAACAAAAGTTAAATAAAATGTAATAGAAAAACTATTCAATCAAGTAAATAAATTAATAGGTTCCCAATCTAATCATGTAAAACAATTAAAAATAATAATGATGATATGATAGTTAATAATATAATATATATTTGTTAAATACTAAGAAAATTTAATATACGTGTAATCGTGTTCCAAAAATATTTTAATTAACAATAAACAAAATGTTCTGAATGTTTGATACACGAAGTCGCTTCCTTAGACTCGAATGTGTTGTATTGCATTGCAAATTACGCTAAGGAAGAATTTAGAAAATAAGTGCATGATTAAATAAATGACGAAAGCCTTTTCAAAAGTAGCAACATTTAACAATTTTTTGTATCAAATGCGCCGTTATTTCAAAACTGCCCCTTCCATGGGTAATGTATAACAAAAATAGGATCACCTAATAATGCCTCGTATTCAGTTCACTTTATCATAGCTAGTGATCCGAGATTACTAACGCCACTGTTATCAAGTGGGACTAAAATAAACAAAATTGCCAACTATCCTTCTTCTTTTTCGCCTTATTTTATTAATTTACTTGGGGTCGTCCACCCTTATCCTAAACTTCCACTTGACACGATCTCGCACATCTTCAACGCTCACATCAGCTGTCCTGATATCGCATTCAATAACTTCCCTCCATCTCTTTTTCGGTCTTCCTATACCTCTTTTTCCTTCAATTTTAATTTCTATAACTGTTCTCACAGTCAAAATTACAAACTATATTAATTCTACTATATTAATTCAAAGATCCGATTGTGGCAATGATAATATGAACACACCTCGATGCATAATAATAAACTTGTGTAAGTTTTTTACTTGAATTGTAAGATGTGGCAGCACTGTTAATCTTACCAACTAACATAACCTAAATAAACTGTTAGTAGATAGTGATAGTATAATGTACGAAGATTCCTTTAACGTTTTCAATTCCCGGTTTCTGTTCTGAAACCTTAATTATATAAATTTTTGAGTTACTTTTGATCTTCTGGTAAATAATTCAGCCAATATAAATATAAGATAGTCATGGTAAATATAATTTTCTTAATTTTTACATATCAATTATACTTATTACTTTACTAATAAATATAGTATTTATTGTTCATGTTGTTGTATTAAGTATTTGATTGTATTATAATAATTTATGTGTAAATTTTCAGAAACCTTTAATGTTACAAGGGCACGAGCGTGCTATCACCCAAATTAAATACAACCGTGAAGGTGATTTACTTTTCTCTTCAGCTAAAGATGTAACCCCTAATGTATGGTATTCATTAAATGGTGAACGCCTTGGGACATATAATGGACATACTGGAGCTGTATGGTGTATTGATGTTGATTGGAAAACTTCAAAGTTTTTATCAGGCGCTGCAGATAATACATTAAGATTGTGGGATGTAGCTACAGGTATAAATGAGATTTTTTTTCAACAATAATAAAGTTGTAATTGGGATTTTTGTTAGGTGTGGAAATTGGAAATATTAGTAGCAATTCTGCTGTGCGTACTTGTTCATTTAGCTATTCAGCTAATTTAGCTAGTTACTCTACTGATCAAGCCATGAAGCAAGAGTGTGAAATATTTATTGTTGATGGTCGTGATGATGATTCATTTAGTAAGATTCAATTTTTTTAAAGTAAAAAATATGACATCCAAATATCTTCCAAAATCAAATGTTGATATAAATATTAATAGATAAACATATAGTTTCTCAAATATATTATGTATACTTTTTATTTATATTATACAGGGTGTTCAGTAAATCAGGAAACGGGTTTCTATTGTTCTCATTGTTTGTAACAATGAGAACAATAGAAACCCGTTTCCTGACTTACTGAACACTCTCTCTGTATATATGTGATTTTTTTTTTAATTTCAAAGCTTCTCTACAAATATTTCAGGGCTTTTTTGTAAAGATAAATAACTGAAGCCATTTTTCCTAGCTTTAAAGATATACTTTTTTTACACATGAAAATATTTAGTTACTTAATTATTTATTAATTTTTATATTGTTTTGTTTTAAAATATGATTAATTCATAGTCATTTCATTTATATATCATAGAAATTAGATAAAATTAATATAATCTATTAGTATACTAAGTATATTTATAATAAAATTTTATTATTTTTAGAAAGTAGTGCTCCAATTTTAAGAATGACTGTACCAGAGTCAAAAGTAACCTCATTAATTTGGGGTACATTGGATCACACAATTATTACAGGACATGAAGACGGTGTAATTATGCAATGGGATCTAAGAGTAGAATATAATATATATTAAGTAAAATTATGAGGTACTTTTCATTTTAAATTATATATTTTAGACTGGAAAAAGTATTGAAACTGTAAAAGATCACCAAGGATCAATTAATGATATGCAGAAAAACAAACAAGGTACAATGTTTGTTACAGCATCAAAAGATAATTCTGCTAAGTTATTTGATGTAGATGATTTATCTGTACATAAAGTATACATGACTGAAAGACCAGTTAATAGTGCATCACTTTCCCCTATTTATGATCATGTAATAATACCTCTCCTTAATATTTTTACATTTTTTGTATACCTAACTAACTATTTTCTGATTTTTATAGGTTGTATTAGGTGGTGGACAAGAAGCTATGGATGTAACAACAACAGCTGCACAAGCAGGAAAATTTGATGCTAGATTTTTCCATGTTATTTTTGAAGAAGAATTTGCTAGAGTTAAAGGTCATTTTGGACCTATTAATTCATTGGCATTCCATCCAGATGGTGAAAGCTTTAGTACTGGCGGAGAAGACGGTTTTATTAGAGTACAGTCTTTTGATCCTTCATATAAAGAATTTAAATTTGATTTTTAAGAATATTAGAATATTAATAAATTGATTTTTTTTAAATATCATGTTTGCTTATATTGTAGAAATACATTCTACAGTTATAAAGTAATGTACTGTTGTCTATAGTCAAGTGTCAGATATTTAAAATCTCTTGTCTATTGCAAAATATCTATATTTAAAAAAAATATTTGACAATATTCTTAATTGTCTATTTAATCAATGTCTTCTAAATTACTTGAGTCTGATCCCTATAAAGTAAATTCATCATTCTTAGTTTCCCTATTTACATTTAAAGTTTTTATTTTTATTTTGTATTACCAATAATTTTGTAAGAGTTTAATAATTATTATCCAACTGTTAATAAATTTTATTTATTGTATTCAATTTTCTTTTATCAGATAATGTCTCACACTCCCTGATGTTGAAAATTCCTAACTTTAAAAAAAACTTAAATTTTTTCCACTAATTATTTATTAATATCTCTATGCAGTAACTATAAAAATGACTTCATGTTTTTAAATACTTTACTTCATTCATGATTTACTAACATTTTTATTTAAGATTATTTGCGTTTGTTGATATTAATAGTAATTATTTTTTTAATCAAGTACTTCTAAAATCAGTATTTTAATTTAGAATATATATTTTTAATATATTCTGTTTTCTAATGATACATTATAAAAATAATCGGCATTAACCTAATATTCATACAAATTTGTAAAAATAACATAATTAAAACTACTATTTAATAATAATGATGCACTCAGAAAAGCTAAATTTTAAATTTCAGTCTATCAATTGATATAGCGCTAAAAATCATTTATTATGGAATTAATAAATATTTCAAAATTTAGTCACTAGAATGCATGAAGATATAACTCTTCAAAACATATTTACCTTATTATTTTAATTTTAATAAAAGGTAAGCTAAATAATATTAGTAAGAACTAATAAAAATATTATTTAAACCTCTAGAAAAAAAATAAAAACAAAGCTAATAATTAAACTTGACTTGTAATTAAATGGAAATATTGTTAAAGTACATTTTAATATAACCACAAGATAGTTTGTTATTATAATTAATAAACACAATTAGCAAAAGGAAAATTTTAAAGACATTACATAAATTACATTTTATTAAAAATTGGTTATATTAACTTTTGGTAAACTAAATGATATATCTTAAGCAAATGTCTGTATAATTATAGGTATTACAAATTGAAATAAAAAAAATTAAAAAAACAAAATAACAATATTTACTTATAGCTACTTATTAATCTTAAATGTTATGAATAATTTTTAATTAGTCAAATTTTATATATATATATATATATATATATATATTACAGTAATCATTAAAATATTAGTCATTTTTAATAATAAGGCACATTTTTTAACATATTTATTGTTACATTAAAAGTGAAAAAGATTAATTTATGTTATTTTTTTTTACTTATTTATATTATTTAAGAACATTTTCAATTAAATTAAAAAAATTCTAATGAAAAAAAAATAAAACTTGTAGGTTTTTATTTTTTTAATAAGTAGCTTGACACAAATATTAAAGGAATAGTGTTTATAATTTAAATTACTGTAACAAATTTTTGTTGTTATATGGATTTATGGAACAAAAAATATGTTTTTTTCAATGTTAAAAATAATAAAGCAAATTTTTAGGTTATTTTTCATCGTATTGCTGAAAGCTTTGACGATTAAAATACTAAATATAATATTTTAACTTATAAAACAAATTTTAAAATCTTACAAAAATAAAAAACTGTCTTAAAAATTACTTCATAATTGTTTAGTTACATAAAATATATATCCAAAAAGGGATATATAATTTGAAATAACCTTATTTCTAACACTTCATACATAATGTTAGCATTTTTTATATTGAGCATTTGACTAGAACAATAAAATTTCTAATAGTTATTTTCAGTGTAATTATAGAAAAAATTTTTATTATTCTCAGAGAAGATTTAATCAATAATTTCATAAAATAATTTTTATAAAAAAATTAAAAGAATGAAACTGAATTAATTATCATCTTACTGATTTAAATAGTATTAAAAATAATTTATAATTTACTTAAGTCATAGTACTTGAACATCATAACTTTTACTATTTTTTCGGCTCAATGATTCAAATTATCACAAATACACACTATACTAATTTGGAGTAATTTCTTAAAATTAATAGGTAGACACAAATATTTGGAAATTATTTATTTGTATGACACAGTATATTATTTTTCAGATCTGGAATACATTTTATCTAATATTTAATTTAAGAGATTATCATTATTATATGAGTATAATAATGATATATGACTTTAACAATTAATAAATAATAATTTTGGTAAAGGTGATAGCATAAATACCAATACAGTATTAAGATGTATTATTTTTAAGCATTAAATAATTTGCAATTATAAAAAGCAGTAATCATATAGAGAGCCAGTTATTATAATTGTAAAATAAAATTAAACAATTTAAATTTTTTAATTAAGGTATACTTAACCATAAGTTTATAAGATAAAGAAAAAAAATAACAAGCATACAATCACATAAGGAACTCTCTAATATTTACTAGATTAGCCCTTACAAAATTTGGTCAACTGGACTGCAAATTGGTATAACTTGTAAACGTATACATCATAGCTATAACAACATAGGGAAGAAAGTAAATAGACTGGCAGTATTTCAAGATAATATCAATATGTAATAATTGAAAATTGCATCCCCAAAATGAAAACTGGAACATTTTCATGATGTATAAAAACACAGTCCATAATATGCGTTTCTGGAACAAAAAAAAATATTAAAAGTTGAAAATAGTAAATGACGTGAATAGTAACAAAAATAAGCATACTCCAGCAGAATCAGCATAATCTCTATGTCTTCTATCATAAATATCTTCAACAATTAAGTATAATGGAACAGTACATAAGCTTACATAATATCCTGTATATATTCCATGCCAAAAGGCTGACATACTAAATGCAGCCAGTGTTCTAAGTATAAAAAGGGATGAATATGTACAATAAAACCACATAGTTACAATTATATTATGAGAATATCAAACCTTAATTTATTTTTAGGAAATCTAGAGTAAACATATGCTGCAAACCAATATTGCACAGTCATATTCCATATTCTAGTAGCTCCACGGACAGTTGAAATTGTTTCTACTTTCATTATATCTATACTTTTGATGCATTCAAAACTATAATCTTCTTTTATAGCAGATGACCTTTCATAAAAGTATACAAAACATTTTAGTATTTATACTTGTAAATTATTATTATGCAATAAAATTTATAACATACTTCTCTAATGATTCAAAATTTCTTGTCGGTCCACATCCTGGTTGCGGATCAGTTGATTCAGGATATGCACCCATACCAGAAGCAATACAGATCAATTCAGAAAATATGAAACCTAAATATATTCGTGTGCGAAAAATGAAGAATGATGTATACATATACCAAATTCGGTAGATGAAGGAAGAATGTGTATAAAACGAGTCATTTTTAAATTCCTATAAAATATATTTAATATATTAAAACAAAACATTAAAAATCTCACTTAATTAAAAAATACTTAAGATACTTGACTGTTATAAGCAAAATTCATATTATAACATTAGTTCAAGAAATAAAAAAACACAGTCAATATATAATTTTTTGACCAACTAAATTTTACAAGTAATCCAAAACTGTATAGAATTATTATAAAATGTCATTTTTTCAAAACAAATATTTTATCATGTTTATAATTAAAATTCAGTATTAATTTAAAAATTTATTCCTAGTAATAAATTTCTAATGAAAAAAAAAAGTGTAATGAGTATAAGCAATTTACACATTTTTAGTCATAAAGAGTGGGACAGTGAAAAGGATGATTTATTTTAAAATTACTATAGAAAAACCTGTAATTGAGTTATTGTGTCCACAATTTTAAACTTGTGATACAAACATTTCAGTTATTAATTTTTAATCACTGAAACTTATGACAATGCACATTTGTTGTAAAAGTATATTATTTAAAAAAGCTGTAGTTAAGCGTTTCCATGATATGTTTTTTTCAAAATCAAGTTATCTTTTATAAGTATGCCTATCTCATTTTTGTGTATCAAAATTAACTTTTAGGAGTCTCATTGTTTTACAACAAAAAATATTGATTTTTATTTTTACTAATGACTTGTAGAGATATAATGTTCTATCTAAGAGAGTACACCATAAATATTCTGTAATCCAGCAGAATCGATTCTATACCATCCATTTGCTTGATTTAATGACAAGTTATTTTATGTAGAATAAGTAGAGGAGGATTTATTAATATTAATGTAAGCAAAAAAACCACTTTAAAGTTCTGATGATTTTTAAACAAAGAAAATGAAAGAGTAAAACAAAAATATCTTGAGAAATGTAGAATTGTATCATTATTTGTCTATTTTATTATGATGAAATAACAAAAGGGCCTTGAAAAATATTTCAAATTGAAAAATCAACTTTATTTGTACCTGATAATCTTACAAAAATTGCTAAAATATTTGAAATTGTTAACATAAAAATTTTCAAAATAAACCTAAGCTGAAAGAAATAAATGACAAATTAAAATATGGATTGAAACTTTAATACTAAAACATTTGTTAAGTAAGAGTGCAGGTATTAACATGACAATTCGTTCAAATCACTACCTACAAAAATGATTGTATAAGTAACAACATTGATAATTCTTTAAGAGCAATACTATTATAGCTCTGATTAAATACACAGATAAAATAAATGTTTTTCTGTCTATTTTATTTTTTAATTGTTATAACTCAACCTAGTAAATTTTTTATTGTATAATAAATAAATAATTCATTTTATATTACTTACACTCAATGGAAATAACCACATAGTTGTAAAATAACAGAATATTAATGTAGGAATAATTTTTAATTTTGTCCATATTAAATTAGAATAAGCTGCTTTTTGCCAATATTGTCGATTAAAAAAATCCCAATATGTACGATAACTTATGTATGGTCCTGAATAAAATGTCAAGTATATTTAAAAATGTTTAACTTGTATACTATAAATCATATTTAATCCATTTAATAATACTTTACCAGTTAATACACCTATATAGCAAAAACAATAATGGAATACTTCCAATATTTTAGGCTCATCAATAATTTTAAAATACTTTTTTGCATCAACATCTTTATTTTTTGTTTCAAGTAGTATTTGGTAACTATCATGAACTTCAAATGAAAGACCAACCAACTTTAACACAAAATTAAAAAACAAATTTTAATTATAGAAATAATATTTATTTATACAAGTATGATTGAATATTACAAAAAACTTTATTGTCACCTTTAAAGTTAACATCATTTGAATTAAGTTTGTATGAGCTGGTGGATAAGGTAATCCAAAATGTGTAATTGTTCTGAAGAATACCAAATATACAAAATTGAAAATAAAACTAAAAATGTGACACCGCCTGTAAAAAAAAAAAAATTTGTTATACTTTCAAAATGAAGAATCAATGAAAAATTCAGATAAAATATTAAAAAAATTAAATTTTACCTTCTATCAAATTTAATCAATACACTATTGACTAGAACACAAATTATAGGATGGAAAATATGGAAACCTGATACAGCTAAAACAATAGATATTCCAAATAAAGTTGAAATCCATTGCTTTAAATTTTTGTGTTTAACTTTTCTAAATAAAAAACTAAATAGAAATGAAATAACCAGAAAACCAACATACACTGTGTCATCAGAAAACATGGTTTATTCTTTTAAAATAACTTCATTTATTTAGAGGTTACCTAAAAAAATATAACTATTATAAACATAAATAATAATTTAAACAAAAATAAGAGTATTTTTTAAATTTTAAATGATAAATTATATCATGTTTTGGATATAACGGTAATTTAATAGTAATAAATATTTATAATCCAGATACAATAAGAAGTGCTTAACTAATTTTAAATAAATTTATGTAAGAAGTTAGTTCAATATTATATGATAACCTTTGAAATTATTAATAAATATGAGTATAATCTAAAAACGAAAATATAATAGATTCTTACCATATATACAAAAAAAAAATTTCCATTCCATATTTTTCAAATTAAATATATATAAATATACAACTGCAAATGAGACAAGTAAAAAAATAACTAGTGCTTAACCTAATAAAATAAGTTTTTTAATGCTTTATTCACATATTCTAATCTTTTACAAAAAATATTAATTGAATATATATAATTGTTAGTAAAATACTCTTATCAATGAAATTTTCTGGTGCTTTATTTTTATCAGCTGATTACAGTTTAACTTAATTAAATTATATTGACGGCTAATCAATCATTAGTAGCAAATAAGGCATTAGTTTCTTAATAGATAATATTAATTTAAGTACTAACTATGTAAATTATTTGTTTTAACTCTAATTATAATAATTTTACTATTAATTAACATTAACTTAATGTTTATGCCCTGTGTTACTGCTGGTGCTCTCAAGTGATAAAATATAGAAATCATTTAAAACAATATTTTATTGTGTAAAGTAAAAATAAAAAATATTTTTTCGGGCAACTCAAGACAACGATTTCGCCAAAACTAGTCTAGAGATGTATTTTAAAATAATAATTAAAAATAGCATGTATAAAGGGATCCAAATTATAGGTCTTCTTTCGAAGTAATCATGTAATCAATGTTTTAACCATGTTAAAAAATTTACTTATTGTGCATAAACTGATTGTATATATTCATGTAAAATAAAGTTTTTGTTAAAAAAAAATCATAAATCATCTGTTGCTACACAAATTATATATTTTTGAGAATTTATAATTTCTATCCCGTACGACTTAGCTGTTTAACATGAGGTAAGAGGACGTTTTAAAGACGATTGGATGATCTTTCAGACAATTTTAGAGGAACCCCATTAAATTACAACTTTGTTGGGTAATATAAATTGCTTCTTAAAAATTTCTATCGATTTGTTCATAAAATTATAATTTAAAAAATGAAAAATAAAAAAAAAACCAACCTAGCCCAGTGAAGTCGCGGCACAGTGGGGAAGTGGTATAGTTGAGTTCAGTATAGATTTAATCTGATAGTGATTAAAATCACTATCATAAAAAACGCTTTGATGCAAATCTGTAGTATTGTAATTTTTACAATAATATAAAATATTATAATGTATTTGTCTATGTTGTTTATCTATTGTAAACGTGTATCAAAATTGCAAGTATGAATTTATCGAAAAACATTCAGTATTTCAAGAACATTTACAAAACTCAACTTTTCAACTTAAGTTTTGTAAAAAAAGTTGATATTTTGAATCCCATCCGGTGGGCAGATTAAGGGTCAGATTATCATTCGATTTATATCAAATTAAAAGAAAATACGTAAGTTGTTTATATAAAATAAATTATTTTGGTTCATTCATATTTCAAAAAGTTATGGCAGTTTTAAGTACCTAAATAACATTGATTTTTTACACGAAAATTACATTTTTTATTCAATTTTGATGGTCATTTGCACATAGAAGATAGGTCGCCGGGACAATTTTTTTTTAATTTATAGTACATAATGTAAGTTTTAATTTAACATATATTTAAAGGACGCAGTATTTCCGAAACATTAAAAGTTTAGTTGAAAAAGATCTACTTTTTATACGTATGTTCCAAGTTTTGGACGCCCCCCATATAAGAGGAAATTGCCCGATTGAAAAAAAAAGTATGTCGGATGTAAGAAGTATACATAATGTGTTTAGAAACAAAAATTTGTGTTGATCTGTACATTTTTCAAAAAGTTTTAGCAATATAAAGTAGCAAATTTAAAATCGAATATTTTAACACAAAAGTACTATTTTTTTAATTACGACAGTCGTTTGCATGTAGAAGATAAGGTATCAGGACAAATTTTTTTTCTCATTTTATAGTATATGACATAAGCTTTAATTTGATATATGTTTAAAGAACGCAGTATTTCCGGAACATTTTCAAAAGTTAAGTTGAGTTTTGTAAAAAAGTTGCTATTTTAAATCCCCCAGTGAACAGGTTAAGTGTTAGATTTTCAAAAAAATTACATTAAATGAAAAGGAAATATCTAAGATTTCAACATAAAAAAAATTATTTTGATTTGATAATTTTTGAAAAAATTATGGCAGTTTTAAGAGAAAAAAATGTCAAAATTTATCGATTTGAAAAATCATAATTTTTTTGAAGATTTCCCCCATTTACGGGGAACGATGGAAATTTTTTCAATTTTTAAGGGTAATTTAACTAAATACGATTTGTGATCTTTTGACGTATCATTGAAAAAAATTGGCCAAGGAGTGCTGAAAAAAAATGGCAACAGACACAAAAAATAAAAAAAAAACACATCATGGTTAATACCTTCTCATCTTCGCATCGAAGCTAAAAAAAACATGTTGAATTTTTCCACAGTCCCCATAGCCTCTAAGTAAAATACGCCTACCCTAGAATTCACTCATTGTGATATAATAGTCCAGTACGTTTGTGATTCGGATTATAGAATATATTGTTGTCTTTAAAATATCGAGAAAATTTAAGATAAATTGGTCGAATGTGATTATTATAAGCTTTGTCAATTAAATTTTTAATTCTTTTTACTTTTGCATCGAGACCAGATGCGTCTATGATCTAATTATACAGACAATTAAAATGTAATACAAATTCAATTAATATACAATATAAAAAATGGTATAAGACAAATTTCTATTAATTTTTTTCAATTTATTTTATATTCATATAGTTAAATATTTATTACACTTTTTAAATTATTTAATGAAACACATAATAATCAATTGATATTTATTTTTTATTGCATTTTTCTATTAAGGTTTTTGTTATTTTAATTTTATATATAATTTCATTATTGAAAAATTAAAAGTTAAATTTGTCTTTTTTATGGTAAGCTTTCGGTTATTTTATTAAATGATTTAATTATTTTAAATATTAAATTACTTTTGAACGAATATTTCAAGTGTCTTAAAAAAACATCGATGGTATATAATGTGTTTAATGGATCTTCGATTTTAAACTCTAGTTTCTCTGATATTAATTTGAGCTCATTTTTTATTATATCGATAATATTATCCACATTTTTTTCAAAGGCTACAAATATACTTTGATCAAAACCTTTAATTAAAGTTTCAATAATGATATCTTGACTTAGTCCTAAAAGATTAGAAATATCAATTAAGTATGTTTGAAATTCAGTTATATGTACATAAGATTTTTTAATAACATCAATTATGTGAAGTTTCTTTATTTCTAACAAGTATCTCCATGTTATTTGCAAGAGAATTACTTTTAGCAAATCTAAAAAACCTCGTTGGTAGGTACCTAAACTTTTAACTCCTTTCAGACTTAATCCCATCGCTTTTTTTTTAGCATTGTTCAAATAATTCCAAGTAGACATTAAGTACATGGGTTCTTGGCCACCAGCTACCAAAATAAAAACGTCAGCAGTCGTATTCAACATGAACAAATCGTCATAATTAAACGTGCCGCCAATTTCAGAACTCAGTCCTTTGAGAAGATTCAACCCAACAAAAATGTTTAGTTCTTTTTTATTTAATGCAATTAATGATAAAAAATAGTTAACTCTTTTATCTTCATTATTCTCATTCTGTGTTTCAATTAATTTGTTTGCCATTTTTTTACACCGTTTTGATGAGATATTAAACTTATTTTCTTGATTGCAACTATCCGTAAACAGCTTTAATTTTTCCGAAACAAATTTGTGCATGTCCATGACGTCAGTTTTTATAACACGATATCTTTGATAGTTATTAGAGCTAATCGTTTGAATATAAGTTTTCACCGTATGTGTATACGTAAAAAACAACCATAACTCACACAAAGATACTTTTTGAACATTAAACAGTGTTCTAATCATAACGAATGCTTCTTCATCGTATGCAACATCAGTCACATTATTTTGAACATGAAATAGTTCACTATCATTTTTTAACAACTCTTCCATAGCGATTAAATAAGTTTGCGCATTAAACATATACGCACACTTGATCTGATTGTATATTTGGTTAATATTTTTTTGTAATTCTTTCAATGATGCATTTTTAGACTCAATCAAAATGTTGTCCTCATAGCCCGTATCATAAGTCAAAGCCTTTTGTAGTTCTTCATTTTTTGCTTCAAATATTTCAGGGTTCGTCGAATCGTCATTATTACCGTTGATGTTGAAGATGAGCCAACTGATAAACAATAAAAATAACTCAATATTCATTTTTGTATTAAAGTATTAATTTTAAATGAAAAAAGTGACTTAAAATATTATTGAGCTTTATCATAAATTTGTGCTTGTGCAAATATAATTTTAATTATTTTATTATGAATAATTTAATATGAACAATTTTCATCTGTACAAATAAATAAGGTGTTATATATTGCTTACAATATCATTGCCTGTGACAAAGATTTTTTGCAATTTTTCCTTAATTATTATTGAGTTAAATTTTGTTTTTGAATAATCTACCAATTTTTTAAAATTAAACACTATCCACAAATTTGCATCGGAGCGTTTTTTATGATAGTGATTTTAATCACTGTCAGATATCATCTATACTAGTCCCAACTTTGTCACGCTCACACTGTGCTACCGTTTTATTTTTGACAATTTCCATTTTCCAAGTTTAGAATTTTCCACTGGCCGCTTTATTGATTTGGCTGTTAAACATTATCTATTTAATTGTTCACTGAAAAATATTACCATCTTAATAAAGACATTGAACTATCCAATTACTTTTATGTTTTAGTCAAGTTAAATTACATTTATTTCAGTTGTATTACTGTTTTTTATTTTTATATAGATAAAAATTACGCAAATATTTTTTATACTTTTTGATAAATATATTCACCAAAATAGAATAAATAGACAACAACAAAATACAGTGAACTGTGTTGATTTTAGTACTTTGTAGAACAATTTACAGTTACTTTGGTTGAATGTATTTGTTGGCTACAGATAAGCCATTTGCTTGCGACCCGATAATCAACTAGGTGGTAGTTAATTGATTATTATAATTGATAATTCAATGGAGTACTCGAGAGGAAAATTAAAGAATAAAACCCCTTACGACGGAAGTAATTATGTAATTAAGATAAAAGTAATAAAAAAACTGTAAACGTTTTCCTTATGTGTGACACTCCCAAAATTCGTAAACATGTCATA